CTCATGGGCAGTAGCAGAAGATACAATCGTAGTGACGTTTAGACTTGAATCGAATAGTAGTTCATGTACACTAAATGAAGCACTGTCGCTGCCTACTTATCAGCTTGGCGTGCTATTTGATGTGCCGTGCATATCCCGCAATGCCGCCAATGGGTGTTGTCGTGATAGCACCCATGCACTGGGTCACTGCTGCGATCTCGGTACTTTTGCATCGTTGTGCTAGTTTACTGTACCTACGATTATGATGTATCCGTCTATATGATCCAGCACGTCACTATTTGGGCACAGGTCATACCCGCGGTGATACAGGCAAGCTGATCAGGCGTCTGTTAGCAGTATTCAAAGCAAAATATACGCGCGCGGCGTGTACTTATTATAGCCATCCGTGACTCAACCGAGCTCTTATCTTGGCCATGCTGGGCAAGGCACTAAAATACAGCTCTGCGTACAGACAGATCTCCTTGCGATGGCCGCTTGTATGGTCTGCCGTGCCGCACACGTGCTCGTGTCTATGTAGACAGCAACTTATTCGTCGCGCGTAGCGCAAATTTAATACTGTAGTTTCAATTTGTGACCGCGCGTTAGTAGAAAAAAAGCTGTGAACATTGACGATACAGATAGCGTGGTCTTGCTTTTGTCCAAGTGAGCGAGTCTACGTGTGACGCGTATGCAGATAGGGACGGTCAGCTTGCAGTAAATACCATGTCCTAAATATAATTTGAAACGCGCTACACTATTTAGATGTGTCAACACTGCTGACTGCGCCATAGGCAGATTACCGTATGTGCGGCTCCAAGCCTCGCACCGTCAGTCAGTATACTACATACAAATAAAGGTAGGAAAATGGGGGCCGAAACGGGTATATTTACCCATTACTTGCTCTTCTGCTGCTTGTTTCGTTCGATGTACTTGGCGTTTTGGGCGGTCGGCTTGCGAGGGCGGCTGTGCCTCTTCTACTTCTACTGGTACCAGACAGGGCCCACCTTTTTGACGCTCGCCAGGCTTTCCTGGCGGCGCACTTCGGCCGATCCAGGTGGCGGAACCTTTTCCTCCCAGAACTCAACCGCTTTTGGGCTGTTCTCGCAGACAATACAGCGCCGCACGATGTCCCGCCCGCTGATTGTACGGAATGCGTAGCCGTACTGCAGCTTCCCGCAGCAGACGCAGCGCACCCGGGCATCCGTCGTAGACCGCTGTGGGCTCAGCAGAAGCGGGTCAATCTTCGCCTCGCATTGCTTGCACGTAGGGCCCACCATTTTGCAAACTGTGAGTAAGTTAGCAAATTATATTGTTTTAACCAATTACTTGCGTCCAAATATTAGCCAATAGCACGGAAATATAAGGCTGGTATTTAATATTTAAACAAAATATTAAAACGTTGATATTTAATGTTTGGTTTTGGTATAATAGTACTTTTATCATATTTCCAACCAAATACATACTTTACATGCAATAAAAGTGACTAAAAGACTACATATGTACCGTGCGCGCATGCATTAATCGGGTGTGGTGCACGGGAGCAGATAGTGCAATGACCGTGCAGCCGCGCGCCTTCATTGCACGGTGGCAGTGGTGAGTGCCAGGTGAAGCAAAAATATATATATTCGCAAAGTCCCTACAAAAAGCGCTGGTCGTGAAGCCTACTTTAATATTAAAAAATACTATCGTCTCTACTTAAGAAAGGCTATGGAAAACAGCATCGCCGGCTCTTACAAATGCGGCCTCTGAAGCTTATATTAATATTATTAGTACTATTAATATCGTCTTTACTTTGAAAAGTGTGTGGAAAATAACATCCCAGAGCTCTTACGAAATACTGGTCTGTGAAGTCTACATTAAAAAATAAATATCTCTACTGTATTTGAGAAGTGTGCAGAGCTCTTAGAAAAAAGGGTGGTTACTGTGCCCGATTTGCAGTACATACGACAGGTTTTGCGTAGCTAAATGTCAATAATCAATCACCTGCGCAGCTCGCCTTGCAGTTTGCAACCAATCGATGCGTTTCGTACTCGCCAGAAATGTTTACCTCACGTCCAATCGCGAGGGAGAGAGGAGGTCTGATCGTGCAACAGATCCAGTCAGTGTCGCAGGTCGGCAGATATTGCCCAATCAGGGCGCGAGTTAATTGTGTCCGCTTTTTGGCTATATTTGTAATTTTTGCATAGCAAGGTCGAGTCAGAAAGATAGGCGCGGTCGGTAGGATGGGACGAAACTGTATAAGAAAGGCCCGATTGTAGCCATGTAAAAAGGCAGGAAAAAGCAGCAAGAGAGGTAAGCGACGGACTGATTGACAGACGGACGGACGGACAGACAGGTTACTCGGTAAGGGAGCGGGAAATAAGGCCATTTTGCAATGGTACATCATTACCGTAAACTACGGGCCCAGTGCTACAGCTGTAAAAATGTCGTTTGTCCCTTTTAGTTTTTACGCGTAAATAGTTCAACAGCTTGGCCCTCCACTCACCAGAATTTCCCGCCAAAATGTAATCCATCTATTCGCGATTTTGGCACAACATGCCAAGGCGACCGTAACTCGGTTAAGCTTAAGGCAAGCATTTAAGATAACTACTGTGTATAAAGCGCTAACTGTTACTGTCTGGTTAGGGCCCTCAAGCTGCTTGACAGCGCGAGACCGGGTTCGTCCGTTGCGGCGAAAGTCAGAGTTCATCGGTATACAATCTATCGGTGGAAGAAGAAGCATGTGCTGTTGACAAAAGGCTAAAGCGACCAGTAAGTGCTATGCTGACACTGCTGCCCCACTCGCACATTACGTGCGCCACCCCGAGCTGATGTACATTGACTACATGAACTATGATTGTTATACTAATTTATTGTGATGTAGGTTTTATGGATTGGATCCGTGATATGCGTAAAAATCGCTACCTGTGCGTGAATACAGAGTGTTTGCTATTAATGCACTCGAAGTTCGACTCTCAGCTGTTTGAGTCGCGCTCTAGAGCGGCAAGTTTACTTGTACATTCGACGTTTCCTCAAGCGTAATCGCTTGACGATTCGTCGTATTACTCACAAGGGTCGTACTAAGCGTTCTGATATGGAAGTAGGCTCTGCTTTTCTATTGGTGGTGTACTTCTCCACATTTACGTGTGGATCCGAAACTAACTTCACTTACTTTGTATTAAGGTTGTAGCATCACTGTTTGTGGTCTCTATTCAACGCACAATAGAAGAGGATGGTATTTTATCATGCCATACGGGTTCTGAAAAGTACTCATCAGTGTACAACATGGACCAAACGGCGATATACATCGATATGAACGGTCGTACTACAATTGATTTTGTAGGAGCAGAAACAGTGGATGTTATGCAAGGTACGTGGCAGTAAATTTCTTCTCAGGCACGTATTAATTTTGACTAACTATATTTTCTAAACTAACATTCCCAGGGAGTTCTGTAAATGGATTTAGAGCGTCCGTCTTTTTGGCTGCGTCAGCGACCGGAAACAACTTGCCACCTCTAATTGTTTACGCTGGAGTCCCTGGTGGACCCGTGTCTCAGGAGGTTTTCAACCCCTCTTTTGGTGCCGCTGCAGTTGAGCACACGCTGCAAAAGAAAGCCTTCTGCAACGAGGCGGTGATGCTGGACTGGATTGAGCGCGTAAGTAAGTATAATATGACTCTATTGCAATTTATCTAACCCTCTGTCTACGTTTTGCAGATTTGGAAACCTTCCGTGTATGGATGTCGTTTGCTTATTCTTGACAGCTTAAAAACGCACAACATGGCTTCAGTTTGCACTAGAAGAGCGTTGCTGCACTCAAGTAGAATTTGTTCCTCCCGACATCACAGGCGTCTCTCAGCCCATGGATGTTGCCGTCATGAAGCCTTTCAAGGACTACGTCAAGTAAGTAGCTTTTACTGCTGCTATAATAAGGGTTTGTTCTAACGTAATATCTAGGAGTGCCTACTGCCAGCATCATATTGACAATCCATTTCCTACGACACAGTCAGAAACGCGAGTTGATCTCTCGGCTTGTCAACGAGGCTTGGGCCAAAATCGACCCCCGTGTTGTTGTCAATGGGTTTGTGAAAGCAGGGTTAATCCCGTGCGGTCCTCGCGACGACAACGACCGCTTTCGTGTCGGAGAGATAACACCCGGCGACGCCCCAGTAGTCTGTGAGGACGAAGAGTAATAAAACAGAGTCGGGGTGTCACCCCTACAATATATCTTGGTTCGTACTTTCTATCTAGTTTTTACACTTTGTTGCATTCCATCCGTACGTCGCACTGGGCCAGTAGTTTACGGTACATGTACATGTAGCACTGCTGTATTGCTTGTTTCCTTTTCACATTGAAGTCGCGGAATTGATGAACAGCTTGACGTTGCACCCATCGACAATCCGCAGTAGCCTGGATATTTATTTAATATGACTCATTGTGATGAATAGGCACCCGTTATTTTTACCGACTGGGTACGGATAAAACGAGACGCTGCATTTATATCCAATCGGCACCGGGGATGCCCGATTTAATTTTGGAAAATGACGACACCTAAGGTATTTGGAAAAGTAATGCTTTTGTGACAAAAACCAGGGGTGATTCGGATTAAATACCTGAAATGACGCTCAATTTCCAGCTACCACACTCACACACCACGGGTATGTGAATTATATACCGCTTATGTGACGGGGTCACACAGCACCTTGCAGTCGGCTTCAGAGAGTTTACGAGGTCTCAATGAACGGTAGTTCTTTTACACCACAATATAAGTAAGTTGTATGCTGTGAATGGAGAATTGTGATAGGCTATTACGATCAGCTAAGTTATCGTAATTGGCGGATAAAAGCAGCCATGTCTGCCATCCAAAGGCCAGCGTACCCATCATTAGGATAAGCTGAGGGTTGTTATGGGAGAGATGGCCTGTGACCATCTCACTTTCAATCTGACGGCAAACGACAACAACTACCTACATTTCAAGGACTAGCAACGGTCCACGACAGAACACTAGCGGCCCTGAGCAATTTAAAGGGCAAGGGGCATGCTATGTGGAAGGATAAGTTGCTGACCCATATCAACACTCAAGATCGACTTTATAAGCGCAAGCAGCTGGAAAAAGGACTGTCAGAAGTGCGCGTGCTGATGGCGGACTTCCTGCAGGGTAGTATAGAAAAGACACCATCAATTTCAGATGCAATGTCAACTGTCTGATAAGGGAAATCTGGCAGTGCTGTGGGGGGCGACGGACTGGGAAAGGGAGAGAGGTGACATGCAAGACCTACTCAATCGGGTCATCCCTAACTTCTTCTTCTCCACTCTGCCTGACCTAGTCTCGCAAATGGCGCCATGCGACGTGATCAAAGTCCTTGAAAAGGACTATGGACAAGGTGATGCGGCGGGACTGATCGATCTGACGCGTGCTTGGTCCAAACTCACCAAGGGTCAATGGCGTGACTTAAAAACGTTGTTCGGGCAATTTAAGAACAGGCCGGAATAAGATTAACCGAAAACCCAAACCCTTCTCGGACAGGACATGGCAACCGAGGCGTGGCTTTATGAAGATGTCCTGTCCTTAGTGCCTAGTGAGTTTTGGGCATTGTCGATCTCCATTAAAAAGGGTGAATTTACGGTTGAGAAAGTTGTTTGCGCATTTCGCCGTATGTTTAGAGAAAAGTAAAAAAAGGAGATCGTAATGCGCCTGGACAAGAGCTCAAGTGTGGTCAACAATGTGCGTGTAAAACAGGGCATAAAGAGACCCCCTCCCTCGGAAAACAGAGGTGAAAGAACGTGTTTTTACTGCTTTCAGCCTGGTCATTTCAAGGCACAGTGCCCAACTATGTCGGCCGACAGGGATAAAACCTGTAAGGGTGGACCCATATATAGGACTGATGCCAAGACTACACCTGGCGCTAAGAAGACCAAATTAGCCAAGGTACATCGCGGTAGTGATTGTAATGGAGCCTGCGAATACGCAACAGGCTTCACGCGCTGACACCCTTTGAAAGCAGGTACTTGCGCACCTGCTTGCACTGTACGCATACATGATCCGCATACGCAAACCATGTAAAGCAGCAGTCCTTCGTGCACACGATATGGTGTGCACGAGCCGGCAGATGTGGCGACAACTTCCGACGTGACGCGTCGGAAGGTGCTAATCATAGTCTAGCAGTTGGTTCGCGTCTGCGTCACTCGTATACGCGTTCTTCACGTCGTCGATCAATGACGACGACGGAACACTTACTTGTCCGACCCCAATTCGATTGGCGTTGGCTGTCGTAACAGCGTAATCAGGTCGACGCGTTGGCCACCACATTCAACCTGGAAGTCGTACTCCGCAATGAACGATAGCCATCTCGCCATTCGTTGCGAGATATGTGGCGTCTGCACTGCCATTCGCAGTGAAGCGGGGTCGGTTTAGACCACGAACGGTCTGCTGCCAAGTAAATACACTCGGAACTTCGCGAGTGCATACTTCATGGCAAGGTATTCCTTATTATGTACAGGGTAGTTATGCTCAGCTGGCTTCAGCTGACGCGACTGGTAGTAGACCACACGATCACGGCCCTCATGATCGTGCTGCATCAACGCGCATCCGATCGCAAAATCGGACGCGCCACACACGATGTGGAATGGGCGATCTTGGTCAGTCACTACCAAGTCGGCGCCTCAGTCAAGCCCTGCTTGACTATTGACTGTATCGAAGGCCTGCTGACACTCAGCAGTTCAAATACACTCAGCCTCCTTTTTCAGGAGCTGTGACAGCGGGCTAATATTGGTCGCATAGTTCTCAACGTACTTGCACGAGTACGCTGCATCCAAGGAACTGCCTCGTGTCCTTCCCGTTCGATGACGTAGGTCATTCATTAATCACTCTGACCTTTTCTGGGTCAGGGCGAACGCCGCCCTTCCGACGAGACACCCAAGGACAGGTATCTCGCTCGCCCCGAAGATACATGTCTTCAGGTTCGCATAGAGCTTATTTTTACGCATATGCCCTAGCAGCTGACGGAGGTGCTCTTTGTGCACCTCAACATCAGTATTCTTGTCCACAGCCCGGCTGTGGACAAACACGTCGTCGAAGTAGCTCGGCGCGAAGTCACGCACTGAGCGCAATAGATGTGTAACACATCTACGGAAGGTTGCAGGGGCGTTCTTCAGTCCCTGCGGCATTACGAGCCATTCCCAAAGCATGCCGCTTGAAGTGCTCACCGCCGTCAGAGAGACGCCCCCGTCATGCATCAGGGTCTGATAGAACCCGTCGAGCAGATCAAGAGCACTATAGATGGTTCTCTTGGCCATCGAATCGATGATAACATCGTTTCGTGGTATTGGCGTCTGCGCCGGTATCGTCGCATCGTTCAGCTTGTTGTACGCATGAACGATGCGCCACCCGCCCTATGGCTTCTTGACATAGAACGTTGGTGCACTGTGCGGGGTCTTTGATTCCCACACTTGAACCGCAGTACGACGACTTTCAGAGCAGTCGTCGATTGTCTTTACTTGATCTCGCGGTAGTGGCCACTGCCGCGTCGCACAGTACTTCGTGCCCGGCACGAGGTCAATCTCGTGTTGTATTCCCTTGTCCTGCGAAGTTCCGCAGGAATCGTTTCGGGGAGCTAATCCTTGTGCTCCTGCAGAACATCGTAGAAGGGAATCGACTTCAACGAGCCCCAGCTCTGCTCCTCGAAGCGCTGCTTCTTCGTCTTCGCGTAAGCGTTTCCTTACTCTCAGCGGTATTCGCAGCGTGGAGTTGCCTCAACTACTCCGCTTCGTTTTTCATCCTTCGATATCCGAAACGATGCATAGCTGCTCGATTCTTCCATCGTGCAGGTCCTACGCGAAGTGCATCCAGCTTATGACTGGAAGCGACGTCAACCCCGACGCACTCATGGAAGCTTCTCCAATTGCATTGACCGGTACTGGAGACCAGTACGGGTCCACGTCAAGACGCTCAACGTTTCGACGCACGACGTCCTCTCCGATGTTTGCTCGGCAGACATCGCTCGTATCGCCTTGGTCCCGGACCGAGATATGCGCAGCTTTCGTCGCTTGCGTCGTCTTTTGTTCCGGCTTCACATGTTTCTCGTCCAGGCCCGGCCTTGGACGGATTTCTGCAGTAACCGTCGGTGGATTCTTTCCGCGGACGCGAATGATCAAGCCCTGCTTGATTTCATTCCGCTTCGTCGTACTGCCCGGCTGCACGCAAGCACGCAAACGTTTTCAGTATTGGACGTTTGCAACCGCCAACACTGCTTGCCGCGTCGTCAGCTCCCACAGCTGACGAGCAGTCATCGCCTCGACGCCTTTCGGCGGAGCCCTTCGTGATTTTTGATCCAATCACGACCGTACCAACGCCCGGAGCTGACACGCCGACATCATAGCTATTGTCGGTAGCTGGAGTCCCTTGCAGATCTGATGCGTCCGTCCACGGGACCGACGCACCACCGTCACAGCCCCTCTTTCTGGGGGCTGCAGTCCGCAGTGTCGTGTGTCTGTTGTAGACACGCGCGACTGCAATACTAGTAGGGCACCCCGCGCCTACTTCTTACTTGCACCGCCCGTTTAATTATTGTACGCGGCGATACCCGGCATCGCCACGTTGGCCCGTGCCCGAGTGCACAAGCGCTGTGCACTCACGCACAAATTGTCAGGTGTTTCCACATCGGGAACACCGCACTTCTCCCTCAATCCGCTGTCGGCGTCCAACAGCAGAACCATGTGCTGTTGGACGTTCCATCCCCAGCACGTTCGCATGCAGCTTCGCCTGCTTCAGGCTAAACCCCTCTTGCTTTGCAAGAGCAATCGCAGCTTCGAGAGTACTTGAGTCTTAACCGACCCATTCTTCAACCTCTTCATGAACGTGACGACCTTTGTCGGCGCGTCGATCGGATTGGTCACGATGTTCGATACCAAGTATCGCGCACGTTGGGCGTAAGCATGAATATCATGCTTACCTGGCTGCAGGTCGAGAAACTCCGCTCTCGACCGGAACTCATTCTGAGTTGGCTCAAACCCTTGTCTGAGCTCCGCCTTGAATATCGCAAACGTGCTAAAAAGCACATATGATCTGGGAGCCGGTGGTCATATGCCCAGCACCTCGCTCGCCCGCCAAGACATGACATGGCGAACGCAACCTTCGACGGTTCGTCAGTGGTATGACGAGCCGTAATGGCAGTGTCGAGTTCGACAAGCCATCGGAGAAGAGGCTCGGTCTCTTTCCCCACATAATTTCTCGCGTGCAGTTTTAACGACTGCATGCGCGGTGTCGTCCCGGACGACACCGCGCATGCGTCCCGGACGACACTGTCGCAGCAGTAGCAGCATCGCGCTGCTCACTCACGATGAATACCAGAGCAACACCGTGTTGCTCTGTCTGCGACAGCGTACGTAGTATTGTCGCTACGGCTGCCTCTCCAATCACTCTTGACAGTCTTTGGAGAGCTTCCCACTCTGGTTCCGCCAGATGGGGGTAGTCTGTAATGTGTGTGGCAGAAGCACTTGGGCTAAGCATGGACGGATTACTGTCCATGGGCTGGTTCTCCGCCCCGTGTTCGTATTCCATACGAAGTCGTCAGTTAGTAGGTCGTTGGACGGACTACAAAGTGCTACCAGGTGTAATGGGCCGGCTTACACGTTAGCGCACGTGTATGAGAAAGCGTAAGATTCGTTTCACTTAGATTAACTATACTTTCGTCCAGAAAGTAAAGTTTTATAGAAAAGCAAAGCCGATTTCCGGTAAACTTGAAATCTGTTTATTTGTTTTGCTTCGGTTTTCCTCCCAATCTAATATTCTAAATGAAAGGTATTTGCCAACAAATGACATACAATTCTAATTGGTTGAAGATATTGACTTTCAACCAATGAATGTCTAAAATGCATGCAGACCAATAGTCTGCCAAACGTTACCGCTGGTTTGTAACCAAGTGGCTACATGTAGCCACTTGCGTCTAACTCCGTTACAGTCGCCACCGGACCTCCACGCATGCGCTGGGCAGCTTGGAAGTCCTCCTGCACCTGGACGAGATCGTTCGTGATCTCAGGGATGGCACCCTCCTCTTCCTCTTTAGCAGAGGCACCGAAGAGGCTTCGAGAGTACCCAGTCTCTATATCCTCGCGGAGTGGAGACTTCGACGCCGTGCGCTTCTTAGAGGGCTTGGCGTCTCCGCATGATTCAGCCGTTCTACTCTGATGGAACGTCGGTCGAGAAGGCGAAGACGTTCTGGAACTCTTTTGAGCGTGCTACAGTGGGACTGGAGGAATCCATTCGTCTAAGTGCTTTCCGCGAGTGCCTGAAGGGCAAGACTGGTGAGGATTGGTGGACGTACTCTCGTATAAACTCTTTTGACACTCTCCGAACCCGGTTCCATAACCAGTTTATCTGCCAGACTCCGTTGCAGCTGATCGAGGGCTCCAGAACACTAAGCGTCCGTGAGGAATGTCCGCCGAAGTGTGGGGCGACATGATCTCTGGCTTGTGTGACGACGCTCAGTGTTACGA